AATCACCATCGGATCCAGAACCCCACTTGGTTAGCCAACCCTCTCGATTGCGCTAACTCTGAAGTTAAACCACCAGTACCTTTCCCATATATGGGTCGCGGACCTTAATTTGCCTTGTGCGCCATAAAAAAACGAAGCACCGTGGATATATCTAGCTGTCACCGCCAGGTATTTTGCGGCGGCCCTACACTTTCGTGTCAACCGCCACGCTTTTGTTTTTCAAGCGGGAAAAGGTACCGGTAGTTTCATAGAGAGAGATGAAGTGACACTTTTGTAATTTATAGTCGCAGGATATGGAAAGGAGGAGGATTCAATGAGAAAAGGAAGGTCGGGGAGATAGGGAGTGCCTGATGAACTGCATACTTGGACCGTGGCCTTGGGCACTTTCTTGCTCTCCATGCACTGATTTGCGATGCATCATACTTGGCAAATGGGATTCGAGAAACTGTGAGAAAGTTGCTCGAGAAAACAATTGCGTGGGCACAAAGAATAAGCAACAGGAAAGGGGAAGAAGATGGTCAAGACGTGCACTCAAGAAGAGATGAGGGATATCATGATGGGGAGAATTGATATGCTATTGGTGAGAAGCAGAAAAGGGACTGGGGTGCGAAGGAAAGAGCGTGTGGAATAAGTTGTGTGACCAGGAGGAGTATAGTTCAATTGCAGAGCAGGTTAGTCGTCATTGATTCGCCTTCGCCCTTTGCACACTCTAATCCTGATTCCTATGCACACACTAATCCTGATTACACTATAACATTACATTAATCCAAAAAGAAATTCTAAAGTACGTCATGCGCCAACAACACGTGTATTTCCACCTCTAGTACGGAAGGCACTTTTTGGGATTTTTTGGGATCCCACCTCTTTCCGCGTGAGGTGGAGGGGGCCCTCTTTTTTCGTGGATGTGGAAACGAAAGGGGACGTGTCAAGCTGAGCATGTTTGCAGGCAAGAAAGTTCTTTTCAAACGCAAAAGAAGACGACCCCGTCCTTTCCCCGAAAATGAAGGTGGGGTTTTCCTTTTTTTTTTTTTTTTGGTAGATGTAAGCGACACTTGGAATGTCCGGTTGGTCCAAACGTTGTGCAACGGCAGGCCGCACAACACCCGAGCAAATGTCCGGGTGGACCAAATTCGGGAAGTAGGTGTTCCTCACCGCCCATAAATTTCCGGCGCACCTACAGTAAAAGAACCGAATTTCGTGGCCTTGTGGGATCTCATTTTTCTTTTACGGTCCGGCCGGAAGGGGCCCTACAAAACCGTTCTTTTTCGTTTCTTCCCAAAAAGAATACAGGTGGGATCAGACCCTGAAACCACCAGTACTTCGGAAAATTGCTCCGCATTAACGGCCAGCCAAAAGTGGAAACCGCGCCTTTTCCACTTGGCTGAATCTGGGCTACCGGTCCAGGCCCGTTCATCCCAAAAGTGGTGCTCGTCAACAAGGAGAATGCACTGTTCTTTGTTTAAGCAGGCCCAGGGCATAACGTTGATTTCTCCCAGAATAAAGCAGTTGTGTTTTGTTCTTTCAAATATTTTCCCCTGATAACAGGGGGACCTACCCTACATCCCTGACTGTTATTCGAACTGTTCTTCTACGGAAACAAGAATGAAAAATTGCCAAATTTGGGCTACTGAGGTGCTCCAAATTTTGTGCGCCCCGCATGCCCCGCCTCGGGTGGGTAGGGCGAGCCTGCTCGTGGCCTCCGGTGTGTGGCGTCCAGTTTCGGAGGAAGGGTACCCGCAGTGGCCGTATATAGCTGCATCCTGGCTACTCCACAGAGAGGTAGGTGGGGCCTGCCCTAGGAAAATGGGGCCGATTCCAAACGACCTATGTATCACCCCTTGCCAAGGGTATCAACAGCGGACACCGGCCATACTTTCTTTTTGCCTTCGATTCCATAAGCATGCCGATCGCAACAAAAATACTGCTTGCCGCGCAAAAAACGGTTCCTGATTGCATCCTGGCCATTCCACAGAGCGGCGGGTCGGGCCTACCAGCCTTTGAAAGCGGCCATTTTTCGGCCATGGGAGCCGTTTGTTTCCCGCCCTGCAGGCACTTGCTCGCCGGGTCGGGAGGTGGGACCCCAGCCTGGGCTGAGCGCGACAACCCGTCGTGGTCTGCATCCTTCATCCTTGCCAAGCGGCCATTTGCCAACCTACCTATTCTGTATGAAGGACACAAGACAACACATTCTCCACGGTAATCGGATCTGAGCCGCACTGAACTGTTGTTTTATTTTCTTTTCCATTGACATCCTTGCGCGGCGTCGGCCATGCCAATCTTCTCTCAATCGTTCCAATTCCAATTTTAACGGACGCCCAGCCGAACTCCCGACATCCTTGCGCGCACTGTTTGACGCTCTGGCTTGCCCTGCTGCAGCAGCCATGTTCTTCGCTTGATTCTGCTATGTTGACAAGTACCGAAGGAGAGCCGTAGCGACGGCGTGAACCCGCGGCGTGGGACTTCGGCGGCGGGAATTGCGGCGGCTAGTTCAGTGTGGCAAGCAGGTCAGTCGTCATTGATTCGCCTTCACCCTTTGCTCTCTCTCCTTCTTCTCTTCTGCTCATTGCCTTCTCCCTTCCCAGCTCCTCCTATTCCTCTTCTATTGCCTCGGTCGCTGTCTTCTTCCATTTCTCACCCTCCCTTTGTCAATTCTCTCCCCGCTGCTCCTCACTTCTTCGCTCCGTGCTCCCTTTCGTCCTCCATTGTTTTGTTGTCATAGGCACACGGCGACGTTAGGGGAAGAGAGAGAGAGAGAGAGAGAGAGAGAGAGAGAGAGAGAGAGAGAGAGAGAGAGAGAGAGAGAGAGAGAGAGAGAGAGAGAGAGAGAGANGAGAGAGAGAGAGAGAGAGAGAGAGAGAGAGAGAGAGAGAGAGAGAGAGAGAGAGAGATGAATGTGGGCTTTGAGGTCGAGAAGAATGGGAGATGGTGGTGAGGAAAGGGGGAGGAGGAAGGAATAGCGGTCGCCGAGGGAATGAAAAGGATGGTTTAATCCTTTGCAGGGCAGCTTTCGAAGTATATCTAGACGAGACCTTAATAACAGAGGCGCTGGCTGGTGGTTGTGGTTTGCAGAGTAGGTTTTGATGCTGCAGCGAGGGTACCATCTTCGCGTGGGAAGGTAGTCGTATTGAGTCGGCGGCAGAGGGTTGCCGCTCCCGAATACAGGCTTCCCTTATTGGGGTAATCGCTACAAGAAGAAGGCATCTATAATCTCTTTGCCTCGAGGAAGCTGTATTGGTCTGGCGGCGCATTTACAGCTTAATTTTGCCGTACCGACTTGTTTTTTTTTCAAGTGAAGACAAAAGTGAATAGTTGTTTTGACAGCCATGGGAGTTGTGGAGGAACCTTGCCAAGATGTTATCCCGGTGCATCAGCGGGTTTGGCGTTTCACTTGGGCGTTGCTGTCGTTCCTTTTCATCCTGTGGTTCTTCATCGTGCTGGGCATCAATCATTGCACCAAGCAGACTAATCCTAATGTCGACTGCGCGGTTCCTGGTTTGGGAGTTTTCTCCTTCCAGCCTCTGAGGGAGAATCCGCTTCTTGGACCTTCCAGAAAGACGTAAGTTTAACTCTTTCTCCACACTATTCTCTTCTTAACCCAGCGCTCTTCGGACCTGTATTCCCCTGCATTCTCTTCTTACTCAATTCAAGCGCTCCTTGCACTCCTTTCCCCTCTGTGTCCTCGCCGTCGTGACAACGTTGAATGAGATGTTTTGCTCTGTTGTTATTTACACTTTGTTTTCAGTCTGTGTTTGATATGCGAACTCGCTAAATAGGTATCTGTCCTGAGGCATCCATTCTTCGAGTGAATGGAATTTGTAGTCAAGATCCTCGTGGTAATCGAGGCGTATAGTTTCGCAGTAGAAGTACAAATGACGTAAATTTTGTAGTAGGTATAATTCCCCGGGGGAGGGCGGGTGGCTGGGCGTTGGCGGGGTGCGTTGATGGCTCCGATAGTTTGACTGTTTCATCGGATTGGAATGTATCTTTGCTTTTTCTATTTTCTCGTTTTGTTTTTCAAATCTGTGGGGGGCCCCGTTGGGGGGCGCTGATGGCTCTGATAGCTTGCCTGTTTCAACGGATTGGAATATATCTCTGGTTTTTCTTTTTTCTCTGTTTTGTTTCTCAAATCTCTGGGGGGGCCGTTGGGGGGCGTTGATGGCTCTGATAATTCCTTGTTTTGAAGGATTGGAATGTATCTCTGCTTTTTCTCTTTTCTGTGTTGTTTTTTTTTGACCTGTAGATGGAACATATAGAGGGTGAAAGCGGACTGGCGGATGGAAGTGGTAGTTTGCGAACTGTGATGAGATGATACTGTATCCGATGTCGATAGGGGAGGCGGCACGATATAGCGTAGATTTGGTGTATAAGCAGTGAGGGCAGCAGAGGGGTGAGGTGGGGTGAACGAGATTGCGCGGGAGCTGAGGGGTGAGGTGGGGTGAACGAGATTGCGCGGAAGCTGAGGGGTGGTGAGGTGGATGCATAAGATTGCGCGGGAGCGGGAGGCAACCGATTGCATGATGGGTAATTTTTCTTTGTAGATTATCGTCGTTCATCCGAATGGAACGCACGGTCATTATAGCTGTATTTGGTGAGCAGGAGCTGAGGGGTGAGGTGGGGTAAACGATATTGCGCGGGAGCGGGGGGTGAACAAGATTGCGCGGGAGCGGGAGGAAACCGATTGCTTGATAGGTACATATTTTTTTTGGAGATTATCGTCTTTCACCTGAATAGAACACACGATCATTATAGCTGTATCTGGTGCAAATTTCAGTCTAGATACAGCCATAATGACAACCCGTTCTAGTTGTGACTGGATCCAGCACTGAAGTAAATTAGTAGATATTTTAGAGTGCATGCGATAGAAAACTGGGTTCAACACAAATGTAGATCATCTAGGAAAGTAGAATCAAAACAGGAAAGTAGACTGAAAAAGAAGAGGGAAAAAGTACCTCCGAAGAGGGAAGAAGTACCCCTGAACAGGGAAAAAGTACCCCTTACAGAGCATGTTATGGAAGTGAATGGCGGTATAGCTAAGTCAAATAGATAGCTTTTTTAGGAAAGTAGATTATAGGATGTCTTAAGGAGTAGACTGTCGGCAGACATGATGAGTGCTTCAGACTATTGGATGGAAGCAAGTCAAAAAAAGAAAAAAATTGCCGACAGACCTGATGACTTTGTATTTTCGGAAAGGTTGATTGACATGAATGGCGGCATTAACGACTGCGGCCCTGAAAAAAAAAGGACGAAGATAGTTTTGTTAGATATAGAAACTTGATTACTATAAAAAGGGATGAGAACTGAGTTAGTGGAGCGACGAACGGGGGGAATTGTAGGAAAGTGGATGGGCTTTTTCCACATGTTTCTATTCTACGCGGGTTGAATTGTTTCGTGAATGCTTAGTGAACGTAGAGGGTTCGTTGTTTACATCGGACGTACAGGTTATGCTAAGGGGCAGACACATGTGAAAATGAATAACGCAAGTGAATGAATGGATGTGAGTGGGTGGATAAGTGGGTGGAGAAGGACATAGATTTGGACGGGGGTGATGCTACAGGAGGCGGAGTGGAACGTTAGGAACGTTGAGAGACAGACGAAGAAGATAGATATTATTGTCAAGAAGAATGTGAATTGATTGAGTCTAGATATCTTTCTATTGCGAGTGCTCTTTCCTGTTTCCTGTTGTACCTTTATCTCCTGTTTTCCGTCACACACAGAGAGAGAGAGAGAG